TACAATGAACTAATTGACTTATATCTGCAATCCAAGATGTAGCATATGAAGTTATTAATACACGAAAGTGCATTGATCATATAGGATTTTAAAAATTGTTAGAGAGCTTACCTTTTAGCGGTCATGATCAGATTTGCAATGCCTTGGCCAACAATGCCACATCCAAATCCAACTCCCCCTTGCAGTACTCCCTGTAAAAACAATTTCATTTATTTATACTTCGTATTGCAAAAGCTGCAAGGAACATTATAAATGCTTAAAAGACTAGTATTGCAACTATCAATGTACTTCACTAGTATTGCAACTATCAATGAAATTCCCTTTTGCAAAGCAGACACCCTCTTACAATAAGAATTGAAGCTTAAAAAAAATGCTGGTTAAAATAAGAAATTACAAGATCAGCACTATAATATCTTCTCAGCAAAACCTCAAAATAAGCTCAAATTCACATTGAAAACAGACCATAAGAAATTTGAACTCTAAGAAACTGTTTAGGACAATTGGGAGTATGTATACAGAATTGAGAGGAATATATTCTTCAAATGTCAACCAATAAATTAAACTAGTGAAGCAAAGGCCCAAAAGACATTAATTGAAAGTCATAGCACTATTTCAGTCATGCAGACTGCATAATTTAGTCCTTGCAAACTTCAGCAAGGACTTCTAGAATGACAAGTACAAGATGTACATGTTTAAATACTGAACCTTGGCATTCATTATAATAGTCAGAATTGATGCAAGTCATGACAATCATCCAGGAAAGCAGAAACTGTAATTAGTCTTCTAACATATGTAGTCTCAATACCGTGTAAAGATATGAAGCTATTCGCTGCTTCACTGAAAAATGAATTCCTGGCCGTTCAGCTTCAAAGACGCTACAAAGCAAAGATTAAATAAATACATTAGTTTTGTAAACATATATTTGTCTATCCAAACCGATACAGCACAAAGGGAGCTCCACCTCTTGTATTAGCAGAGGACTAGACAGGCTCAATTTCAAACTTTAAATTTAACTTAAGCAGATAATCTATACAGAATAATTAGAAATTTAGAACATTAAAAAAATAATGCAGCGCCCTATATCCTAAGATCTCAGGGAGCCCCACTAACCTACTGGGAAGTTCATTACAAGCACGTCTGATGCCTCCAAAAAAACCGACAGCAGATGTAGATCGATTTCCAATACGGACATATGGCGCTAACATGCCAACTAAGGCCACATTTACAACCACACCGACAAGAAGATCAGCAAGATAAAGTTCAAATTCCGTCCAAAAATCTTTTCCCCTTTTCTGAACTTCCGCAAATGTTGCACAACAGGAATCAATTACAATCTGCATGGTTCCAACAAACATGTCATAAGCATTTATCTCATTTCATACAGCATAATCAGATTCAAGCATTATTAACAATCAGCAATTAAGCAGGTAGTCACCATCATCATAAACCAGCATAGTCAGAATTATCTCTCAACATGTCCATGTATCAGTTGTCATTTCAAAATAAATTGAATATTTAAGAAGATTTTCTTATTCCACATCATTTGTCATTAAATATTAATGCAATATTGTTAGCTGTCATTGCCATGTAAAATTTTAATGCAATAGTACAAGTCTATTCTTATACACCAATACAATGATTACAAACACCCATTGTCATGTGCATTACCAACGTTTTCAAAGTAGAGCGTATAAACACACTGCATCCGAGTAATTACTACTTCCACATATCCATGTTTCCTTTAACCTCAACAAGCTCATCAACATCATTTCAACACCTTTAATTCTACCAACTAAATGGAAAACTCTAGCTTACCTCAGTCCCAATTTTAAATAAGAATGCAGGATCAGCCAACATTCGATTTCGAAGCATAGCACAATGTCTAATCAAAAATCCTAGCGGCCCAGCTGTTCCCTACAATCAAATTCAAGTATATTAGAAAATTGAAATAACAATACAAGAATACAAATCAATTAAATGCATAAAGTATGCCACTCCAACGTTTAAAGTTTGAAGCTAGCCAATGCACATTTTATACAGTTAACACCTTTAATCATCTTTTAGTTTGAATTATAAAAAGTCGATATTTTGAATATATATCGAAACAAATCAAACATGTTTATTTTATGTATAAATCACAATAGACAGTCCAATATACACTTCCGAACATTGCAATTAAGCAAGAAGTATTAAAAACTACTCGAATATGTATTATATAATCAAGAACAAATCACCTGTAACTCCAAATACCGCATCAAAATCAACTCTCTAATTCCAGTAGTTTTCGCAGCTTCAAGAATATCATTCGGAAGGGTCGCCCCATATTTCTCAGTCTCTCTCATCACTTCCTCAAATTTCAATATCGCGCCGAACTCCTTCTCTTCTCCATCATCACCATTTCCGTCACCTTCTCCGCCACTACCTCCGCCATTTTCAGGCGGTGACTTCCCATTACCATTGTCAGAACCACCATCATCGAGCCGAGCCGAAACATTCTCTTCCAAAACCCGAACATCATCATCTGGAATCGTCACAGTAGATTCCGAGTTATACGAATTGACGATAAACCCAACTTTCTCTCTCCTCCAATTGGCCGAATTCACGAGTTTAAGAGAGAAAGATGGTCTGGGTTGAGAAAACCCAGAAACCCTACAATGGAGGATGAAATTGGAACTCCATTGATTGATTGCATTGTTGGGGAGATACGGAAGAGTGGAGCTCAATGAAGCAACTGACATGGCTGCTCGAGAATCTGTGTTGAGTATGATCTAGGGTTTTAGGTTGAATTTGATGAAGAAATTGGGGGAATAATTGATTGATTGATAGTTGATGAAAATGGGAAAGATTGAAAGTTTCAGAGAGGAGGAAAATGGGGTGCATGAAGTGTGGAAGTAGAAAGTGTGAGTGAGTACGGCGGCGATGAGGGGTATAGAGGGACTAATTAGGAGGACGGAGGAGCTATGAGGTTTTTACTAAAAACGTGTGGATATTATTTTGTTAATTAATTTAATTTATTTTGATTTAATGTGGGACACTCATAGTCAAAGTGACAAACTAGTTCTACTAACTAGTCCATTAAGGCAATAAGCCCGTTTGAGTATAATATTACCCTTCGTCTCAATTTATTAACAAGAAAATACAAGTTAATCACTAGGATAAATTTCTGGTGTTTATTCTTGGATAATTTGTAATTTATTCTGTAAAATATAAGGTCATTTTAAAAAATTTACATCAAAATTGAGAAAATGATGAAGACGGAGCGTTTGACAGAGCTTACAAGAATCTTCATTGGAGCTCATGACTAGGCTTCAATGGGAAGATTAGTGGAAGAGGACGACACCCCTACTTTTGGGGTTAACCATGTCATTTATTTCTCCATTTGTTCTTAGGGTTTTTGTTTAATTGGGCTGCTTCAATGCCAAAAATGGTTGCGGAGGAGGAAGAAGAAGGTGAAGGCAAATAGAGATCACTGGATGAAGATGAAGGCTGGTAAGGATCGCAGGACAAAGATGAAGCGCTCTCCATTGAAGTCCGCGATTAACTGGATGCAACTCATTTACTAATTCTCTTTTTCATTTAAAATCATTTACTAACTCCTTTTTTCATTTAATACGGAGTAAGTTTTTCTTTCCTACTTTTTCTTTTGAGTTTGAGTTGGGTCTCACATTCACCTACCTATTTTTTCTATCTACTTTTTTACTTGTATAAAATCATGTACAAATGACATGGGAGCAAGTAAAATTAGATAGAGTGACTGAGTGAGTATAAATATTGATAGTAATGCATGAAGAGTAGGGAGAGGCGCCAATCTTGTATAACAATCAAAATATTTGGTGCTCAAAAAAGTACCAAAAGACAAAGCCGAAAATTCTATTTGGTACCAAAATATTTGATTTTGGTACAAAAAAATGTGCTTATACAGTTATACCTTATGACTTCCCTAATGTTGATCAAAGTTTGGCTTTAAATAGTTTGACTCAAAAATAAATGGAAAGAATAATTACCTTGAAACAAATATTGATAGAAAGAGTTTTTTTTAGAGAAAATCCAAGTTGATCTCGGTGATAAACAAGCATTGTTTAACTCGTGGCATTTCTGTAATTAAATTGCACTGGTTTTTGCAAACATCCAATGAAACACGAGTTCTGGGCCCCAGCTCTGTCAGCTACCAAGTGAGAGCAAAGTAACGATGATAAAGTCGTTTCTCCAACGTTAACGTCGAAACGAAGGCCTTTAACCCACGGTAACATTTCCATATTTTTTGAAGAAGATGAAGGTGCTAGCAGGGTCGGGAATGTGAAGGAAGGAGGAAAGGAAACCATGGATTAATCATGGAGATGGGTCATGGTGGAGTGAGGAGGAAGATGATGGTGATTTTTTTTTATTTTCTTAAAAAAAAATTCCAAATTGTAAAAGTTGAATTGAAGAACAGTCAAATTGAAGAAGAAAGAGGCTTACGTGTCGATGCTCTTGGGTTTGGGTAGGTGAGACCGTGAGAGGCTCACAGTCACAGCAACTAACCATGGTTAGTTATGTCCACTTAACGTCCATATAACAGCAGAAATCCGTCCAAGAAATGTTGACATAAATATCCTTACTTTTACACGCGAAAAGACGAGTTTACCCTTGAGATAAACAACCCATGTTTCTCTCAGAGATCAACCTGGGCAAGCTCTTTTTTTTAAAGTTGAAAAATATTTTCCTTCCAAAATACCATGAATAAGTAAGATCACATAAATGGAAAAGTGTATGAAGAAGTTATTTACTTCCTGACTTCCTGTGCCCTCAATGGCTCTAATCATAAACCACATGTCTATGTTTCTAGATTTGGGATAACATTCAATAATGATGTACAAACTTACACAAAGATAATCATGGCATTCAACCGTGATCATCTTCCAGTAAAAAAATATGGCTTGTTATTGGGTTATGGAGGGAGTATTATTCAATATTTGAGTAACATAATATCATATCCTAAGTTATGAGATGTTACTTGTCAAAAAAAAAAAAAAAAAAAAAAAAAAAAAAAAAAAAAAAGGTTATGAGATGTTAGAGAAGGCGAATATTTTTAACTCTTGAAGATGCCACAAGCCCACAAATATGCAAGTCATTCAAATAAGCCACAGCGAGCGAATCTAGAATATAAAATGCGCACAGTAATATTGCTTGGTTACTTATTCCAACTGAAAATTACTACCAACTCTGGTATAGTCCTAGTTCATCAGGAAAGATATGCAAAATGCAAGAACATGAGCTTTCCTATAGAACTTATTATCTCATGAACAAGTAAAATTCCTAAGTGCTATTGTTCTGTACATGAGAGCATATATTCACACGAATCACACCAACGAAAAAATGTGTATTTGTTTTTCAAAATGCTGTAGTTCATGAGCTCCTAAGTAAAACTTCCCAAGTCACATTTCAACACCATATAAAATTCACAGCTACAGGTGTCATTTTTGATATGTAACTTCATTCCTGCTGGAAATGGAATTAAGTGGAATTGAAGGCTTACAACGCCAATAATTCCGCTCAAATCCAGACCCAGAAGCCAGCCACAAAACAAAAAACCTCCTTTTTTGATCCAGTCCTCTTTAGAAGTAAGCACAAGCTTTGGCATTCCCACAACGCATCCTTTTGCATGAGAACTGTAGTTTGACTCAAGTAGGCAAAAATTCTTATGTTTCCCATACTTGAGTTATCACCAATATCAAATCACCGTAAACCAAGATTTCCTCCAAAAGAATTTCAAATGTTCTTGTTAATACACTCTTTCCATCTGACTTGTCAACCAGTAATGCCTCTTCTAGTTTTTCACTGGAACAAAGAGAGGCTTTTACGATGCCTCAAAGACCGGGAAGATTTAGGTTGGTCGACTGATGCCCTTGGACTGGGTTCAGCAACTTCAATTACTTCTCTTTGAGCATTAGAAGATCGAGGGAGTAACTTGCAACCAATTCTCCAAGCAACTAAGCGGGGAGAGCTAAGTGAACTTTGTGATTTACTCACTTTTCTCATCTCCTGCTTTATTTTACTGAATTCCTCTTCCAGTTCCTGAACCCTACATCTCATCCTGTCCATGTCTCCTTTAAGACCATGGTTTTCGCGCACAACAGAAACCCATCCATCTCTCTGGATTATCTGGCCCACCAATGCATTTTGGGCGGTATCAAGATTGGTTGGGCCTTTTTCAGGGTCGTCAACATGGAGACAACCAGCAATAGCAGTTCTTAGATGCATCTGCTCAAAGAAAAGGACCTGAAGAACAACCCTAAGGGGCAGTCTTTCATTTTGAGATGCATGAGTGCACGCATCAATGGAGAGTCTTTGGTAGTCAATCATGTTGCAAAGTTGTTCTTTCTCTTTGTCAGAAAGCCAAGGATGATCCTGCATTGTTCAATAACAATCAATAAATTTCCATAGTGAACATGAACCAAGGCAATAGAGAATAAGCAAATCCTGTGAGAAGGGAAATATTATAAGAGCAGCACTTATACTCCTTACATAATACTAAGCTTTGTTGACCGTATAAGTGAGTGCCACAATCGCGTCTTGGGTTACAGGAATTCCTACAGTGAATGGAACTGTAATACAAGTATCTATACTCATAAAAATCTTAGGACCTTGATAGTTTTGTACTAATTGATTACATCCCTATAAACGTGCAAAATGGTTGAACAGATGTGATAAAGCAGTTAATGACAGCATTAAACCTCAATTAAGAGACAAACCTTGAAATATATGTCAAGAGCTCTGTATAGGCCATCATGGAAAGGTCTGTCATCTTCTGGAAGAGCCTCCACAAGGGCACGTATCTTGTCTGGTTTTAAGTTCACATCAGAAGCAACCTCTGCTACATAGCCATCCACCAACTTCGCTACTTTCCTTAATGATTCAGATGACGGTGATGCTTCAATATCTGGTGAGCAAGGGGAAAATGCTGGAACTCTTGGCTCTGTTGACACAAAATGCTGGATAATCCTCTGAACACAATCTGTGTCGTACAAGGTATCAGAGTCTGAGTAAGTAGGAATCAGTAGACCATCTAAAGTTGCTAGATCAAGTTGCATTCCAACTCTTTTCTCCAAATAGTCCTTGCATTCTTCACTAACATCCAAAATCAAAGCGGTACGAAGCATTCCCAGTAAGAAGCGACAATAAGATTTGCTCTTCTTTTCTGGGAGCAACTTTGCAATAGTTTCCAACAGAGCCTTCTGATCAACAGTTACAGGAGTCAAGCTAAAACTTGCAACTGTTCGAGATTTACCACCATGCCCACCCTGCCATCGTCCGAGGCCGGGTAGGAATTTCCTAGTATAGTACATTATAGCACCCGCGATATTTTCAGGTCTTATACCTCTCGCTTGCATTGTCTTAATAAGTTTTTCAAATAGATCAATGCAAAGATATGATATATCTTCGTACCACCAATCAGACTCTGCACTTCTAATTCTTGCTCCAGTGTTTATTCCGTTCCACAGTATGCTCCCACCCGGGCTTTGTAGGCTACCATACATCATCATAGGCCATCCAAACAAACTTGGATCTGTGCAAACCATTGTGGATACAGCATTCAAGCATTTGTCAATTAGCTGAAGCTTCTCTGCCAGTGGTATAACAGGTTCAGCACTCTGAAGGGCGACAATACAGTCCTTCCAATTACGAAGTATGTTCTTATGGAAAAAGCTGTCACACCTAGACAACAAGTTATCCGAGCCATATTGATCTGTCATCTCTAGATAGTCCGCAACACAATAGATAATCATAATATTCCTCGGAGTCAAATCAATACGAAGTCCATAGCAAAATTTAGCAGCTATGAGAAAAGTGTCGGGGCCCCCCGGGAATCCTTCCAGTAACTTAGTGAATGATTCTTTGTGTATATCTTGTGATGCTTCAAATTCTTTATCCAATTTCCCACATCTTGATACAAGAGGAAACTGAGAATAAAACAGATTATTAACTCAAAGGTACAATAAGAGCAACAAATTCACCGTCTTGGCAGCCATGACAGAATGAAACAATAAAGCAGTCAAATGTCTCAGAAAACAACCTATGGATTTCAACAAATTGACACTTTTTATTAACTCACTATCAAAGTACCAAATCAATAGTACTGACAGAAAATGTAGAGAATATGCAGGACAATGATGCAAACATAAGTAGTAGACTAAGTCCTTAAACTCATGATCAATTTAATAGCATCCAAATTCTTGTGACTTTTTCCCATTGTGGATGACTGAGGTTTCTAAAGTGGTTTCATTTTGTGTATATCTTACTAGACAGAGATAGCTTCAAAAGTTAGTTGCCAAATTGTTTTTAAAAAGAACTACACAAAAATTTCCCATATAATATGCAAATATCCCTCGTCTGTCTCAGTTATCCACTAAAACAAAGAGTCCTTGAAATAGAAAAATTCAAGGCCTTGCCTTCCTGTTATTTTGTTCTAATTCAACAAGTTCGGATGATAGAAACAGAAATACTACAATGTGAATTAAACAGGGTCTTCTCTTGCAATTCTGCTCTAACTCAAGGCCTTGCTCTTCAGGAAAAAGGATTATGCAAATTTACACAGGAAGAACAAGAAGAAAAAGTTATATAAATCGTGAAAGAAACATTCAACTCCTGCAGTACCTTTAAATTTCTTACATTTTTTCCCATCAGACAAAAAATGGCAAATGGCTGTTAGGGGATTCTTTGTTTTTCATGGAACATACGAATAATGTAAAGCAATTGAAAACATTTGAAGAAAAAGCAGCCACATTAGTAATTTCTTTTTAAATAAAAAAGAAATTAAAAAAATGATCCCCTCTTGTTATGCTTGGGAAACAGGGAAGTAATGAACAGCAAGAACCTATTGCTCTGAGTCTCTGACAGTCCATAGTGAAGCTAATCCCATATAAAATTATCTACTCAGTTACATATTCCTGCCTTAATTTGTTTATCTATATTAGTAAATTATAAAGAGAATCCTTCAAAATAAAGCAATCTCAATAAAGCAAACAAAGCAAGCAGTAGGACAAAATGATTAGTTGTAGGTTGCAAACTGAAGATTTCAAAAGAACTTGAAGCAACCCTCACATGAAGAAAGCTGCACATAAATTTCAGAACTACAACAGGCCCTACATATGTCCTTAAGGCATCATTACTCGTAACTACATTTCTTATTACACTCAAATGAACCAAATCTGATTTCGCTTAACACCATTAGTATTAAGTATACGTAGGCCGACTCATTGGAACACCCAACGAAACGACTATAACTTGCACATAGACTCCTTAAAATAACACACATTCGTATGCAATTTAACAAAAAATAAAAGAATCAACACTCCAGCTTGGACTCTTCATTTCACACAAATACAAAATCCTTGAAATATTGACATGAGTGTGGACACTTCGACTAGGTCAACACTTCATTTTGAGCCAAAATTATGCAAAATTTTAACAAACGGACAGGCAAATAGATAAATTCCCATGCCCAACTCGAGTACTCGAGTCCAAATAACAAAGCTCTAGTACAACTCCAATCTTCAGCAAAAATATAAACAGAAATGAAAAGAGGAGTGACTACCTTGTGCAAATGAAAATTTACTCCTTCCACAATAACAGTAATATCGCTTGGCAAACCTGCATTGCAGAACCTGTCATAATCATGAAAATAACATTACAAAAACACACATTAAATATAAATGATTAATTTACACCTAAAATGTCCAATAACTACGCCAAAAAATAACCCATTTTTACCCCAAAAAGAAAAAACTTTAAAATCATACTTTCTTAATCACGCACACACCATCAGACAATCTTAAAACTTCAATACCACGATCCCGAAAAATAACATGGCTTAAATACTTCGTATATACTACCGGTGATTAAATAACGGCCCGTTTAGTAGGTGGTAATAAATTTGATATCCCTTACAAAAATCCAATACAGATATCTCAATCTTAATTCTAAAATTACAAAATTAAACCAATTATTTCAACCCAAAAATAACCAAAACTTAATCCAACAAATTGTAGGGAAAAAAAAAAACCAAATTAAATGAACCAAAACAAAAACAATATGAAGAGAGAGAAAAGAGAAAGTACCAATCACTGCCTTCACGTTGAAACTCAGCCATTCTTCAACACAAAAAACCCAGAAATCAAACCTTATTTACTCTCTTTCCCTCTCTCTAACACCAAAACATCAAGTAATATTCAACCAACCAAAAAAAGACCCACATTTGAAAAATAAAAAATAAAAAACTACCAAAACCCCAAAACAATACCAATAAATTTGGAATGTATTTTTGGATTTTAATTACAAAAATAAACAAAGATGCTATTTATTAATACTTCCTTTAATGTCTGAGCCAACAAACATCACACTACTGAGTCAACTCGGGGTCCCCCTTCCAGACGTTAACAATATTTTATTTTTAGTTAATATTTTTTTTCAAAAAAAAAAAAAAGGAGGAAGAAGAAGAGAGTTTAGTGGGGAGGAAGTTGAGTTGAACTTTACAGCAACGACAAAAAATGGAAAACTGAGGTGGGGTTTTATACTTTTATTGAAGAATGTTGAGAAGAACAAGCAACTATGGCAGAAATTATTTGAATATTCTAATCATTTTTATTTATTTTTATTTTGATTTGATTAAAAAAAAGCAGTAATAAGTTTGTTTTTTCGAATTTAGGGAGAAAATAAAAGTTTGAGGACAAGAGGAGAGAGAAAATGGTGAAAGAAGAAGAAGGAGGTTGAAAAGGAAGAAATAGATGACGCGTGGATTTCCATAAATACTACGTATAAGAAGAGTGGGTCCGTTTGAGATGGGTGGTGAGGTAATGTGGATCCTTGACGACCAACATCGACAAGTCACACTCCTTTTTATTAAATGAGTTTCGTATGCCTCCCCTTATTTAAAAAATTAAATATGAATAAAAAAAGGAAAAATTAACAACAACAAATTAACCTTTGTCTCCTTTAAAAAAAATTAACCTTTGTCTCATTTTTTAAAAATGAATCAACTTTTAAATCTTCTCAAAGTTAATCTAAGTTTGCATTTATTCTCTCAAAATAAACCCAAATGACCAGTGACTTGTATAACCGGTCAGTTTTTTAATTTCTTTTAATTATTTTTTTTAATTAAAAACCTTTAATTATCTTTTTCAAATTAACAATATAATTAAAAAAAATAAAAAAAAAAAAACCACTCTCCCTCACCCCACTGCCAGCCACCCCCTCTTCCACCTCTCCTCCCTTTCCGGCCACCACTCCCCCTCCCCCTTCACCTCCCATTTTCGACCATCTCCTCCCTTTCCACTGCATTTTCCAACTACATCCCGCTTTCCAAGAAAACCCCAAACCGACAATCCCTAAACCGAAAAAAGGTGAGAAATTGATGTAGAAAGAAAGAAGAATTAGAAGATTGAGAAATTAAGGGTTTTATTAATTTTGTTTTGTATTGAAAAAGAAAGAATTAAATTCTGAGTTTGCAATTGTTGAAGGTGTTTTCGAAGTGGATGAAGTTGGTGAAATGTGACAGATTTAAGGCGTAATTGTTGTTGATTTTGTTGATGAAGAGTTCGATTAGAGTTTATGAGAGTGGTGGTGGAGTTACGGTGGGAAGAGACGTAGCAGCAACGGTGTGGGCTGGTGGGTGGCGATTGTTGTTGAGGTGAGGCAGGGCGGGGTTGCGGGTCTTGGTGGTTGTAGGTGTGGGCTGCTGGTGCTGCTTTGTTTGTGCGGCAGGTAGAGATTGTGGTTGTTGGTAATTAATGGTGGTTTTGGTGGTGAGGGGTGGTGAAGGTTAAGGTGTGGGTATAGCCAGCGCCGGACGGGGGAGGGGGGTTCTGGGCGCCGACCGGAGTGGGTTGCTGGTGCTGCTTTGTTTGTGCGGCAGGTGGAGATGGAGGTTGTTGGTGATTGATGGTGGTTTTGGTGACGAGAGGTGGTGAAGGTTATTAACGTGTGGATATAGCCGGCGCCGGCGACCCGGGGGGTGTTCTGGGCACCGGCTGGCGTCAGGGGCAAGGGGGTCAGGCTTGGAGTGGGTGATAGTGGGGTGGCTGGCATGTGGAAGGGTGTTTTTTTTTTTTTTTTCTTTTTTTTGTAAAAATTATCAAAAATAATAATAAAAAAACCCCTTGATTTATAATACGTGGATTTTTAGCTGGTATAACAGGTAAGGTGACCTGTTGGGTTCATTTTGGGAGAATAAATGCAAACTTAGGTTTATTTTGGGAAGATTTAAAGGTTGGTTCATTTTGGGAGAACAGAGCAAAGGTTGCTTTATTGTTGTTCAATTTTCCTAAAAAATACTCATATATGTTTCATATCCGGTACTTTTTAAAGGTTAGGTCAGGGTCAATGTTTAAGAGTAGAGGGAGGAGGTAAGGAAATTCCTCTACTACCAAGAAAATGCAGTTGGTGGGCCTCGAACTCGTGACCTTAAAGTCACAAGGTGAGTTCCCCACCAACTCCACCAAACTTTGCTTGGTTGTTTCGTATCTATCGTGTGAGTGACGTGAGACCTTAGCTTACCTCCATTTGTCTAGTATTTGACCCGTAAAAACTGAATAATAAAAAAAGTTGTGATAATTATCAAGGAAATTCCTAATGCAATACTCTCTCTATTCTCATTTTTTTGCCCAATAAATAGGTCAAACTTCAAAATTTTTGCCCATAAGTTCCCATTAATTAACGTGAGATAATATAATCATATGGGGTTTTGTTAGATCGCCTCATTGCATATTTTATTAAAAACGAGTTTTTTATAATTTTTATGCGCATAAAAATGAAGTGATATACGTTTTAACACTTGTCTCGGAGACCGTGAAAAGTTAAATGGGGCAAAAAAAAAAAATAGAAACAATTGGACAAAGGGAGTATATCCAAAAATGGGGAATGATTGAAAAATTTACATTTTTACCGTGTATAATACCCATTTTCATGAAAATATACTTAAATATTTTGTGTTTGTTGTATAATTGGCTAATTGATTTTCTATTTGATAGATTAACAAATTTCCCAATTATCAAAAGTTTTGAGAAGAGAAAGAAAAAGAAACTCTACAATAGTGTGATCTATTATCCATAGAGTTTGTCAAACTCATATACTTCCTTCGTTCTGGTCCTATAGCACCATGGGGAGATTTACGCATTCCAATGCACATTTTCAACCTAAAATATCTTTACTTACCTTGAATGGGTAAATTATTGATGCCTATCCAATTGCAAGTTTGACCCCTCAATGATGAATATATTGATGTTACCTAATTATGATCAATTTATTATGGATGGAAATATAATAATATGGCAGTATGTTTTCTAACTTAGGCTATGGAATTCACTAACTATGTTGGGTTAAGCCATGTGACTCAAGCCCACATGAAAATGTTATAATTTACTTTTAGAAAGCGATAGAACCAAGCGCCCGTGGCCTAATGGATAAGGCGTCTGACTTCTAATCAGACGATTGTGGGTTCGAGTCCCACCGGGCGTGACTTTGAAATTTTTTTAACTGCTCAAATAAGTTACTTCTAGTTAAAAATAAGTTTTAATCAACAAAAATTAAGTTCAATAATAATAGTAATAAGTTTGGAAAAAACCAGAAAAATTAATTTCAACTTAACAAAATAAAATTGGAGAGAACATACTACAAAGCCTTCGTATTAACTCCTTACTGTAACCAATACTCCAATATATTTCGTTTTTATTTAAGTGTCTCAATTTGACTTTGACATTAACGTTAGTCAACAATTCAACACTACAAGAATGCCAGTCAAAATGGGGTACTTAAATAAAAAATAGAGTATTATAAAACTTAATTGACACAAATCATATACAGAAAAGTCAGCACAGCATAAGTTAGTTAGGTTAGACCGACTAGTTGAAAGGCTTACAAGGAGCCAAGTCCAAACAGTCACTAACTTTCCAAATAAAATTAACAGCATCGGCATATTACTACTCATTTGTCTTGTGAAAACCATCTGAAGCACATAATCTATCTACAATTCATCAAAGAAAGAACACCGTACTTGATGTAATCAAAATATATAGTAGTACATTGCATTTCTTATCTCCATGCGACAAACAGATATAGCTGATTTCACAGATAAACACGTCCCTGTTCTCGGAGACTAATAACATTTCAGCAGTTTCGCCACATATAGTCCCCAATTATGCCAACAGTCTAACACCCCTATCAAGTACATTACAGCACCACTTATAGTACCCCTAATTTTTTAAAGTACCCTCCCCAGATTACAACTGAGTATAACATCAACACGACTACCCACATAAGAACGACACAAAAATTAAAAAAAAAAAAAAGGAAAAAATTAAGATATATGTGAATCAACCATTTTAGACATATTTCAGAGTTCTGCTAAAAGAATTTGAAGACAGCAGCTAAACAAAGCGTGACCCCCCTGAGCATCACAACTATACTCAGGCACACTGAAATTCGTTCTCTCTTCTATCTTTAGCTGGCAACTGGTTTCAATATGGCCTGCTTGATTGCCTCTGCATATGTCCTATGTTGGTATGTGAGGGTCGATTCCAGCAAGTCCCACAGAGATGTCTTGGGGTTCCAACCTGAATTTTGATGGAACAAAGTAATCCTTAATGATTTGTACAAGAGATGAGGGTGGAAACATATATGCTTCTTTTTTCCGGGATTAATGATATACGGTTTTAGTTTATAATTAGATTTTCCAATAAACCACTAAAATTAAGATTATGGGTGATTCAACTATTGTAAATCATCTCATATTCTAAATTTTGCAGCAGTTGGGACAATGTCACAACTAATTTTGGATCGAAGAAATTTATCAAGAAATATTAGAAATAAGATATAATACCAAGCTGTTTGTTGATGATGGTCATGTCAGGAATTCTCTTGTCACTGTCATCATATCCTGTACCATAGAACTCCTGGGAGCTAACATCAACAGTGGGTGTTTCCAATTCAGACTCTCCACTCACCTTCGAGTAGACCTACAAAAAATAATTGGTAGGATCAATTACATGACAATTTAATGGCGGAAAGCTTGGTATGAACCGCATACAAGATGTGCATTAGAGCCATGGAAACAACAGTTTACCTTGGTCATCATTTCAGCAAGTTGTCGAACAGTAACTTCATTGTTAGGATTGCCAACATTGAAGATGTGCCCATTTGCCCTGCCAGGATTTTCCTGGAAAAAGACACCATAGTTCAGTAATGACCCCAAGCAAAGATTACTTAACGACTTAAAAGATTCAGACAAATCATTAAGGTTGAGTATCAACATACAATCATCAATAGTACAGCTTCAATGGCATCCTTGATGTAGATGAAAGTTCTCTGGGATTCACCACCATCCACAAGCTTCAAAGGCTCACGACGCAGTAGGTTCTGAAAGACAAACCATGATTAACCATTAACAATGAGAAGAGAAAAAGAATGAACAGAACAGAATCTGAGCAGTACATATATGAGATAACATACATTGCTAAAGCAAGCCAAAACTCTTGGAACACCTTCACTAGGACCATCAATTCCGGGAATGAAATCCATCCTGGGGCCAATCCAGTTGAAAGGTCTCACGATTGTGAACTCGAGACCATTTTCAGCACCCTCCGCTGTAATACATAAATATAAGAATATTAAATCAATGAGGATGAAGAATAGGATTCGACTCTGGGAAAAGGTTCCAGGAGAAGGAAAAACTTGAGAGAAATAGTATCTACCGTAGACAAGCCTCTCAATCAATTGCTTTGCACATGCATAGGACCACCTCTGCTTATCAATGGGACCAAAGATACAGGGAGATTCATCTTCTTTGAGAACAAAGTATGAAGGATCCTGCCACATCAACATACAAGGATGAATAAACAGGAACAAGCCAATGAAAAAAACATCCTCATATTCAACCAGTTTCTACAGATTATTTAACACCCTTTCTGTCATTCATCTCAGGCAAAATCTAAAGCAACCTCCCATTTCCAAGATATACACAAATCTGCATTACTCCAAACTTCTTAAAAAATACAACTCCACTTCCTAAGAATTAGAAAAATATCTTACTAATTTTGCTCATTTCAACATCCATGAGACTAGAAGACCCAAATATAAGTATACATGATGCAACAACAACCAGAGAAATAGAAAAGGTAGGTCAAAAACACTTCATAGTGTTTTAAGGAATTTGGAGGGAACAGGAAAACTTGAGTGATGATTTATTTTCCCTTGCTCACATATGGAAATGAGGTTGTGGTGGGAATCCACTTATACAGCCCGCCCCCACCCCCCCATCCTCTTCTCCCTATTAAGACATGACAAATTAGGAATTTACTTGAGACTAAATTGCCCATCAAAGAGATTCAAAGATGGGCATAAACTAACCAGACAAATGCTGCTTGGATATATGAAATCACACTCAAAATATTTTAAATAGCTGGCTTCAATTTGGATACAGGTAAATATGTTTTCCCACAAGAAGAAACTGGGGAAAAGAAGTTACTTCGATAAAGGTTCACAAATTTTTTAATCCTTGAAATTAAATCTCAAGTAAATCAGGTAAAAAAAATTCTGATGGTGCTGTCTATGGTCACACCACAACTAGAATTGACTGATGAGCATTTAAGATAAGTAAGAACCTAGGAATAAAAACTCACTCACAAAAGAATGAGGGAGGGAAGAAGTAATGTTTAGGTCCGAGCAACCAAAGTGGATGATAAGGTAGGAGAACAGCGAAAAAAAAAATAAAAAATTCAAGAGGACTGTGGCTTCTCTCTTTTCTTCTACATTTCTCTTATCTAAATTAACTGCCCTCTTCTCAGAACTTACATGCATTACCAGAGTACCAGTTTTTAGTTGTTAAATGAAATTGATAGCCTCAAAAAGACTTATCGACCCCCTTTTTTAAAGGTAAAAAGTAAAAGGACTTTTATTCTACAATAACAGGCATAGGTAATCTATGACATCATTCACATATTTGTCATCTGCATGCCCCTAAAATTCTAGAAATAAAGTAAAAACCTCAATGTTCGCAGCAAAAGCTTTTACATGACTTTAAAAAAGCTAACTTAAAATTTGATGGACATTTGTTGACCTCACAAACAAACATGTCTAGACAATCAAAATAGATAAAAAATAAAAATAAAAAAACATCACCATGACAAAACAAGACCAATTCTATTCAAAATTTTCAAGATAAGGACATAATCAGGCAAGATAATTAGCTTTGGTTGATTTTTAAATTCTATTGTGACACTAATGTTGGCAATATGGCCGGTTATATGATTAATAATAAGCTTTGGTTGATGTTAAAAACTAAAATTTTTATTGTGGCACTAATGTTGGCTAATGATTAAAAATATAAATTTTCATACGAATCATGTGTATAGATATTTGAGGTACAAGGTAGGACAATATCAAATCAATTCAAAATGTCATGAAGCAACCTGCATGTATGAGTTAATAGCATTGGCACTCCATTCTTGCATAAGTGAGCCATGCGGTTGTAGCTAAAAGACCTTATTTTATTAATTTTTTTATTTTGTTTTTGTTTCACATTACTTCATTAGATCTATGATCCAGCCAATACCTCGTCACATAGTTTACAACATGCGATTATACAACAACACTTAGTAAAGATTCTTTGGCCAGGGTCTACATTGTATATAAAGGATCACAAACAAATTAAAAAGACATACAGAAAATTTTACTCCAGTTGCAGGAAACAAAATGTTATCAAGACTATAAGTTCGCATTGTGTGACGTATTAGCATCACTACCAACCACAGGAAAGCATATTCAGAATAAATTAAAAGCATAATTCAACAAGGCCTCTCCAACTTCAGACCAAGAGTGAGACTTATCCATCAACCGCACCAATAATTTTCTCTGGCTAAGGATCCAATCCTTGGTTATAGAATCTAAGCTAATCGCGAATCCAATTGATTAATGGTTGTGCCGAGTAATGACTATCATTCTTAATTACAAAAAAAAAGTATCTGATTTTCTACATGATTAGTTATATGACTTATATCTAAGCAGTAAACACCTCCTAATATTATATTCCAACTAGTCAACCCCACTCAAAGCTAACTACAAAAAAGTGACCAAATAAAATAAAAAATTAAAAAATCAAATCTATAAAAGCATCTTTTTACAAAAAAAAGCTAGTGTGACAGGAATATGGGATAAAACAGGCCATGAGGAAGAACACAGATCTGCATCAAAAGGCTAACGTGTTACCTGGCGCAAAGGACTATCCTTGGGAAGGAAGCAACCAATGGTTTTTCCATAGACTTCACAAGTAGAGAAGTGAATGAGACGCTTGCCATTCTCAGAACAGTACTTAACCTACATTACAATATCATTATCATAGATCAATGTCATCAAAATCAAACTCATGTAGATTCAGTTATCGTTAACGAGGCGAAAACTAAATTAAAATAATTCAACTCGTACCACTGGCAATGCATCAATGAAGTTGCTGTAGATTGTGTCGAGTGGACGAGTGTTGTAGTCAGCAGGAGTACAGATCGCTGCCAAATTGATGGTCTAAAACAACAATTCATACAAAATCAAGCACAAATCTAATTGCCGACACCAAAATTGAGTAAAAATTTCAAACATCGCAACTTCTAAGCATCAAATGATTCTTCAAAATCGTGTTAATCAAGTATAAAACAGCAATGTCGATACTAAAATTCATGGAAAATTGCATCAGAAGTTCAAATTAACAAATCATTTAATAAAACTGCATTTATCAAGCATAAATTGCAACACCGACACCAGAATTCGTGAAATGAAAGTTCCGGCGGTTTAATTCGCCGAATAATTCAACAAAAATGCGCTAATCAAGCAAAAATTCAAGCACCGACAAAACAAATTTTCACAAATCCGAGAAAATTAACAATCACATACTCCGCAAAAATCAATCAAATTTCAAACAAAAAACCAACAAATTAAAAACAAAAAACCTAAAAATGAATCGAAAAAACAAATGCAATACCAGATCCGCCATCTTAATGAGACCTTCAAGGCGAGAATCATGCTTAATATTAATCCGGTGAAACGAAATTCGATCAGCAAAAGGAAGAGTAGAAGGTTCGAGAAGATGCTTGATCTTATCATTGTAAACATCAACAGCAAGAACTTTGTGAGGAGTTTCAGACATGAGCTTCTCACAAAGGTGAGAGCCAATGAAACCTCCAGCACCGATCATGCAAATAGTCAGCGGCTTAATCGGATTTCCATCAAGATCTACTCTGGTAGAGGACGCCATTGTTGATTCGTTTCTCTCTCTAACCAAGCTTTCTCTCTCTAACAAAATTATTTTGGGATTTTGGATTTTCTCTCTCCTCTCGGTGTGCGAGTGGGAAAAGGGGAGTGTGAGATGGAAAAATGAAAGGGGCGGTGGAGGGTTATATATAGGGGAGGGAGTGAGAGTGAAAATTCAATGGAAATGTGGGTCCCATTTATTTATCTATTTATTTTTTAGTATATAGTCGCGGTTTTTAGCTAAGGCAATTTCTCACTTGCTGTCTATATCAACCGCGTAATAAAATTTGATGATTATTTGTACTCCAGTACAGTAGTATGTTATTACTCTCTCGTTTCAGTTCATGTTCGTGTTTTTTCACGATATTTAGGAAATGGAAAGAGATCTGGGATGAACTATATTAAAAATTTGTGAAAAGTACAATTATAGACAAATTTTAGAAAAAGAAAGTGAAAAAAAGTTACACCTGATCAATGGATGGGCCGGGCCGAGCCATTAAAATCTACCCATTTCTCGGGTCGAGTCAGGTCGGGCCTAGCTACGGGCTAAAAATTCCATGCCCAGACCCGCCCAAAAAATAGCCGGGCCGTGCAAGTTTTTCGGGGCGGGCCAAAAAAAATGAACTAAAATAGCATAAAAATGTATTTCCAAGCCTGCCCAAAAAAACATAAAAAAATCGGGCCAGGCCGGGCCCAACCCGATTTCGGGCCAAAAATAGCTGCCCAAAGCCCACCCGAATTCGGGGCGGGTCAGCTTTGATCAGCTCTAAAAAAAGTACAAGGCTAGTTAAAAAAAATGAGAGTATAATGGTCTTTACATACTGGCCTTATTTGGCAATTGGCAATTAGTTGTTGGCTGCTAGCTATTACTCTTGGCTTGTCTGACTAGCTGTTTGTATTGGCTTTTTATGTTGGTTGTTTAACTGTTGGCCTTTAAAAGACATATTTGGTAAAATTGGTTATTGGCTGTTTGGGGCTAAAATTACCTTTAAGGGCATTGATATGTTTTATTATCTTTCTAATAATAATAATAATAATAATAATAATAACGACGGCGACTCGATTTTCTGGCGATCTTCAGGTGATTTTCTTGCGGAATTTTGGCAGTTTACATGTTTCTTTGGTGCAGTTCGTGCTGCATTTCACGCAGATTTTGGTGCGATTTCCACGTCCAATTTCAGGGTGCGTTTCAGGCGATTTTCAGCCGATGCTTAGGCGATTTTAATCAGGTTTTCAGGCATCACTTTTGAGGCTTGGTATTTAGATAACGACACTGTTATTGGTGACACCTTGGTGGTGGGAAAGGTTATGGAGTTGATTTTGGCGGAGGGACCTCGTCTCGACCTCCATGTAAACGTTGAGAAAACCCTAGTGAGATTGTTGCCCCCAAAATCATGAAGAAATTAACAGATATATATTTCACGAAGGTTACTGCATCTGCAACATCCACTTTCTCCTTATCTCCGCGTCAGGTTGCCTTATGAAAGTCCCAGCAAAGGGATCACACTTCTGCCTTGTTGCGAGCGGTCCCAATATCGGGGTTGGATCAGACTATATATGAATGGTAAGGCTTACCGTTCTATTCTTTGCTACTGGTTGGGTGTTCCTTTGTTCTCCGTTTCGATACCGTGTTTTGCATGCTCAAGGGTTTTCGATGGGGACATTTTGGGGATCATGCAGTATCAAGTGCTGGGATGGTGGGGATTAAACATCGACATAATGTTGTTCGCAATACCCTTGTTGATATTTGTTTTCAGTCTGGGATTTCTGCAAGAAAGGAGGTTACGTTGGGTTGAGTGGAGGGAACGATGGGGTTCTTCGACCTGCAATTTATTCTTAGGACAGAGGTCTTGATGTGTCTGTTGACTTGACGGGGTCTCTCCTTTAACACAATTTGGATTGTCTGACTTAATTCCTTGTCGTGTAGTGTCGGTTGCTGCTGAGCGAAGCAGGACAAGTATGGGGCGCGTTGCACGGCTATTGGCTATGATTTTCTTCCTTTCTCTTTTTCTTCATTGGGGGGATTAGAGAAGGATGTTGTTGAGTTGCTGAAGCGGGGCTTCAGGCATTTGCTAGGACTCAGGATATTAGTGCTCGTGCAGCTGCTCACATCTTCAGCAGGATCAGGTTCACTATAGCTAGAGGGGTGGGGGCCCAAATTGTATCTCGGCTCCCACTAATTTCTTGTAATTTGGTTGACTTTGTAGGTTTTTGTAATTTTTTATAATAATAATAATAATAATAATAATAATTATTATTATTATTATTATTATTATTATTATTATTATAACCTTTTTTTTTACTTCTACTGCCAACTAGTATCACTGCTACTTCGTATTTTTTTCATAATAATTTTTTTATTTTGTTAAGTAGGATTGTTATTTACTACTACTAACTAGTATCACTGTTACTTCGTATTATATTTTTCATAATAATTTTTTTATAATTTTGTTAAGTAGGATTATTATTATTATTATTATTACTATTATTATTATTAGTGCTCTTTTATACTTATTATCACATATTTTATTTACTATATAAACAATATAACAACAATAATAATTATTAGTATTAGTGCTATGATAAACGACTCAGAAAAGAGTTATGATATTTTTCTCACATGTACAATGATGCTTAAAAGAATTTCAATAGTACAATCTAAAATGAATAATAGAGCATAGGTAGTAACTTAGAAAAATAGATCATAAGCATGCATATTATGATATTAATGATCTAAGATTGTGTTCTGACTCACCTGAACTTCCCCCAAATATAATCCTCATCTCTATAGTGTATTATTGTATTAGTATTATATTGGGTTTTTTTTTTGTTTTAGAAGAGAGAAAGGTAATTGATGAGAATGTTAATAGGTGTAATTAGGATAAAATTGTAATTTTTATCATTTAAGCCAAAAGCCAACCCAAAAAAGCTACTCTCACTAGCTTTTGGCTTTTGGCGAAAAAGCTAGCTTTTTAGACAACCAAAAAGCCAATTAACCAAATATATATTTTGGCTGTTTGACCATTTTTAAAAGCCAAAAGCTATACAAAAAGCTACTTACCAAACAACCCCACTACCAAAAATAAATATAGAAACAACATTTTTAGTCTCCTAAATAAGGAAACATGAATTATAATGTGAAACGGAGGAAGTAATTTACTCCGTATAATATAAGGGTTTATTATTTTTTATTTTTTTCAATATGATTTAGAGGGGAAATGTAAAAAATATTTAGATACACTTTGATGGGTTGATCACTTGATCTATCCAAGCTGACAAAGCTGTATCTATAATCAATGAATCACGTGGTTTAAAAAATAAATTTGGGATTAGGTTGGTTTGTTACTTATAACCCTGGATTCACGTGGATGAAAAATTAATTTTGTATTAGGTTGGCTCGTCATTAAGAACGGCACGACAATATATGATAGTACTCCCTCCGTTTCAGAATATTTGGGACGTTGGGATAGACACGTAATTTAAGAAAACTATAAGTGAATTCATTTATAATATTTGTTTATTTTATAAAGGATTATCATTTGTATTTTTATATTGTAAAAAAAAAAAAAAAAAAAAAAAAGAGGAGGGAGGTGGGGGTAGTGAGGAGAGAGAAAATGTAGGATTTAATTGAGTTTTGGGGTTTGTGGTCTCAAGGAGAGTATAGGAAAATATTTTTTTTATAAGTGGTTCAATTCCATACTTAATAACGTGCCAAGTATTTTGGGACGGACGAAAATGAAAATTGTGTCAAGTATTATGAGACAGAGGGAGAATGATATAACATAATCTACACTATATGATAGTATGATATAATATAATGTAGATTATACTTATGATACAACTTATACCTTATTCTTTTGAGCTTCTAGGCAGAGCAGGGGTCAACAGAGCAAATTTCAGTAGAGCACAGTAGATTTTATTATTATTATGATAAAGCCATACAACCTACAAAAAATTAGTGGGAAGCCGAGATAGAATCTGGGCCCCCACTCCTCTAGGTATAACAAACTTATCCTAGTGAAAATATGAGCAGCAGCACGAGCTCCAATATCCTGAGTCGCCGAGAACTTTTGAACCCGCTTCAGCAACGCAACAACCTCTTTCTCTAATTCCCCAAGTGAAGAAAAAGAGAAGGGAAGGAATCCATATCCAATTGCCCGACAACTAGATTCATACTTGACCCGCTTCCCATGAGTCGCATCAGCCATAACCCGTCTAGGAACGAAGTCAGATAGCCTAGAATGTGTCAAAGGAGAAGACCCTGTCAAATCAACACATACATCGCGACCACGATCTTAGGAATAAAGTAACACATCTACAGGTCTGAGGGCCATGTCGTTCCCTCCAGACAACCCAATGTCAACCTCCTTCCTTACTGAAATCCCAGATCGATAGCAAACATCAACAAGGGTATCCCGAACAACATTATGTCGATGTTTAATGCCCACGATACCAGCACAAGACACCGCGTGATCACCGAAAATATCCCTAGTAAAAACCCTTGAACAAGCAGAGCACGACGCTGTGATAGACAACAAGAGAACACCCAACCGATAGCACAATACACATCGGTAAGTCTTAGCATTCGTCTGACCTAACCTCGGAATAGAGACCGCCTGAAGCCAAGACGAAGTGTGATCGCCCTGCTGTGACTACCACAAAGCTTACTACCGAGGAGATAAAGAAAAAGCGGACTCTACAGAAGTGGTAACCTTTGTGAAATATATATCTGTCAATTTCTTCATGAGTTTAGGGGCAGTGACCTTATTAGGGTTACTTAAAATGTCAGACTCCACCGTTCCATTAAACAGACTCAACGCATCTTCAAAGTCCCGACCAAGACCAACAATGCCAGCATGTCGTAAAAGCTTTGTCTGCAACCCAGCAGACTGTACCCGAGAAGCAAGAAAAGCATAATGACGAACATCACCCGTGGAATAAACACCAAGCTCCCCATATGCAAATGGTAAGATGGCAAGCCGCCACTGCCAATCGCCAAACCCAGGCCCTGAAGCAATAACAATACGCTCTAAGGAAGATCGAAGAGCCCCAACGAATATGCGCTAAGCCGCATCAAAAGTAATAGGAGGACAAGTACGCAAAGCAAAGTAGAGTTTAGAA